GTGAGTTTGATAAAACGAAAAAACAAACTAGATGCCAACACTGGTAATTGTGATTTTATGCAAAACCTATATTAAAATGTTAAAAAAAATGAGGATACTTTAAACATTATTTCTGAACTTTGCTCTATTTTCTCCCTGTATATCAGAGGCAGTGCATGATTTCCTCTGATCTTGTCAACAACTGTTGTCAGTTCTAACTTCTTTTGAGTTTTTAAAGTATTAAAATATATCCAATATTTCTATTGAATCTGAAATAAAGAAGGGTGTCTTGTGTTAACTCAGTTCATTGTCCTAGGGAAAAATTTTGCTTTGAACACCAGACATCTAAGGATGGTTCACATATTTTTGAACAGCTGGAGAGTAAACGTGGTGCTGTGTAGCATTTGATCTACCATTACTTATTCATCTAATCCCTTAGAGGACATATTAGATTTTGCAATTACAAATATTTTTATGAATTTTTTAAACATGCACGCGCGCACGTGCACGCACACACACACACACACACACACACACACACACTAACAGAACACTTTCCTAGAAGTATTACTAGATCAAAAGTTATATGTGGGCTGGGGTTGTAGATTAGTGGCAGAACAAACATAGGTGAGGCACTGGATTTGATCCTCAGCACCACATAAAAACAATAAAGGTTAAATTCTTTAATTAAAAAAAGGTATGTATTTATACATCTCAAAGGTGGTTCTGTCTCCAGATCTTTTACACTCAATGACTTTTCTGAACAACTAATTTATTGTCAACATTGAATTAGTAAATATGTATATTTATTTACATAAAATATTGAACCCAGGACCTTGCACATGCTAAGCAAACATTCTACCACTGAGCTACATCCCAGCCCTTTTTATTTTATTGACAAGTCTTGCTGTTTTCCAGGCTGGCCTTGAACTTTTGATCTTCCTGCCTCAGCCTAAGGAGTCTCTAGGATTAACAGGCATGTGCCCCAACTCTACATTTAATTAAGGTACTGTAGACAGATTAACTAGACTTTTGCTAATAGGTGAAAGAATAACACCTAATAATTCGAGGCTCTTGGAAATAATGCTGATTTTGATAAATATACTAACAAAATCTAGTTTTAAAAGGCAGGAGCTTGAAAGTCTGTTACATAATTTTTACCTCTGGCAGGTAAGTACCACTTTTCAGCATTTAGTCATTAATAAAACTTTTGGGGCTTTCCTTGAGGTCTTCCCATTTTTTTTTCCATTTCTCTTTTCAGTTTATTTGCCTTGTATCTCTCGGCCATTAAGACAAGCTCCTCTGGAATACTCTGAAATTATTAAAAGTGTGATTAGGATTCTGAGTTCTTTTAATATACTAACATGCCTCCAAATCATTTCAAGAATCTACAAATTAAATGACATCTTCCAAAAAGAAATGTTTCCCTATTAACCCCTAAACTAGACAGATTTAAAATATACCCATCATTATGCTATTCCCCTGCTTGAATAGTCCTGCAACTTATTCCCAATGTCCTAATACTCCTTTTTGGGGTACCACTTCCTACATGTTGCCTTACCTCTACTCCTAATTGTTTCCACTCCTGGAACACTCACCCCATCTTGTACAACTCCCACCTCCAACAGCTGGTTGCTTCCTCAGCAGGGTTTTCATTGCTCATTAACATTAGTGTAGATTCCAATTATATTTCCCATAGCTCCTATTCTTTGCCATTTTACAAGCCCTCATGTTATAAAAACTAGTTTTTAACTGTTTACCCCTATAAACTGTGTGATCCAATGTCGGGCATAATGACTAAAACACAAAGGTATAGATTTCTAATGATTTGCATATTCTCACCTGATTTGCTCTTTCCAGAATATTAATCAATTCAGTGGCAACCCTCCAATCATTTCTAGTGATAAGAGTAATTGACATGCCCGTTCTCCTTTAATGGGAAGGGAAAAAAAAACCTCATGTAATTTCTTTTATAGTATGTATTCATTATTTAGTTAACATAGAAAGTAATGTAAAAATAGGTACAACAACTTTTTTTGCTCAAAGACCAAATATATATTATGTGTTAAAATACGTTATGCAAATAGCATTTTAGAACATAAAAACAGTCATTCCCTCAGTATTCAAAGGAGATGGCTCAAGGAACTTCTGAGGATACCAAAATCTGACGATAATAAAATCCCTTATATAAAATACCATAGCATTTGCATAACATTTACATTATCCTGTATACTTTAAAATCATACCTAGAATACTTACATTACCTAATACAATGTAAATCACATGAATAGCTATTATACTCCATTGGTTAAAGAAAAACATATTCAGTACATAAATTTTTCTGACATATTCTAAATATTACCTAATACAATACAAATGCTGTACTAATATAGCAGGGGATGTGGTAGTCTGTGGTAGAGCACCTGGCTAGTATATGTGAGACCCTAGGCTAAATCCCCAGTACTGAAAAAAAATTTTTTTGAACTACAATTAGTTATTGTAATATTTTCCAATTTAAATATTTTTATTTGGTGTTACACAGGATTAAGTTCAGGGGTGATCTACTGTTGAGCTATATCCCTGGTCATTTTTGAGACATGATCTTGCTAGATTGCTTCAAATTTGCAATCAATCCTCCCTCAGCCTGTAGAGTCACTGTGATTACAGACGTGTGCCATTGCACCTGGCTTAATCTATACTACACCAGGCTTACTTCATTGTTTTAGAGAATGATAAGAAATGACTATAATCTATAGTTGTTCAAATTGCACAAGAGGGTATAACAGTAGGGAAAAAACAATCCTCTCTCATACCATTACCAATTTGAGCACTTTTTTTTTTTTTTTTGGTACTGGGATGGAATCCAGGAGTGCTTTACCATGAGCTATATCCCTAGTCATTATTTTTGAGGTACGGTTGCTTAATGCCTTGCTAAATTGTTGAGGCTGGCTTTGAACTTACAATCCTCCTGCTTCAGCCTCCTGAGTTGTTGGGATTACAGACGTGGACCACCACACTGACTCAATTTGAATAATTGGTAAATGAAGTAATCACTTGTTATAGCTCAGTATTGTGACATTATAGACATAAAACCAAAGTATCAGAAACAATTACATGAACCTAGTAGTGACATGGTATAGTTGAATCTGCATAGGTCAAATGAATAGAGGTGAAGAAGCCAAGCAGATTGTGGGGAGGAACAGAATTTATAAGGAAGAGAAAAGTATGGTTTTCTGGGGAGGAATAGTCTGTGATGAGAATCCAGAATTGACCTTTTCAAGGGTAGATTATGCTTACTTACCCTGCTCTTCCAGTTCTCCCTACTCTGTGTACATATTCTTCAATATTCCGTGGAAAATCATAATTATATACATGTGTGATATCATGTACATCAAGACCTCTAGATGCCAAATCAGTAGCGATCAATATTCTCACTTTACCTAAAGAGTGAACCCAAATAAATATCAAATCATTCTGATATAAACCAATCCAAGACAAATGAAAAGTGCCTTTTCCT